AGACTCAGGCCCGGCCTCAGCCCGGGCGCCGGCGGGTCCGCCACACGGCTTTCCTGCCGCTGGAGAGAGGTGGAGGGGATTTTAAGTTATTTTGTGTAATGATTTTGTTCTCTCTCATTTTAAGGACGACTATTAGGGCAACTTCCAATACGCAGACACAGAGCTCGTTGTGATGAACCCCGTGTCTCATCGCCGAGCTTCAGCACTCAGTTAACAGTTTGTCCTGTTTCATCAAACGCTCTTGCTCCCTGCAGTGTGTCCCACCAGCGTTTACTGTTCAGCCTGACTCCCGTGGTGCTGGTGTGTGGACGAGGGGCCTTTGGGGAGGTGGTTCAGCATGGAGATGGAGCCCTCGTGGGTGGGATGAGCGCCTTCATGAAGGAGCCCCCTTGCCCCCCCTGTGAGGGCGCAGTGAAGAGAGGAACCGGGAAGCTTGTCTTCAGAGACCCCAGACCCGCTGGCGCCTGGATCCTGGGCGTTCCAGCCGCAGAGCTGTGGGGAACCAGCACCTGTGTTTAGAAGCCACCCAGTCGGTGGCATCTTGTGATAGCAGCCTGAGCAGACCAAGGCACTTCCATCCCCCCCACAAGATAATTCAAAGCCAGGGTCAGGTGTCATGCCTGTAATATGTGTGGTCTCTAGGACGGAAGGGTTCTTTTTCTTTGTAACATATCCACAACTTTACAAAATTAGTAATTCTTTGATGTCACCTGTTACCTAGTTTTGATTAGATTTTCTCTGTGTCTCAAAACGTCTTTTTTTTTTTTTTTTTTTTTAACAGTTGGCTTATTTGAGTCAGGGTTCCATTAAGGTCCACACGTTGCCTTTGATGGCTAAGGTTTTTTGGTAGTTATTTCTACATGCATGATTTTAAAGTAAAGCTCCCTGCATAAGTAGTATGAGCAGTGTTACGTGCCCTGTGCTGGTTGGTCCCCAGGAAACATGGGATTAAGCGTAGCAGTGAAACCTCATGACTTAAACTTAACAACAGCCGAGTTCCAAAAGCAGAATCAGGCCAGGTGCTAAGGGACTTTGTGTGCCGTGATAGGAGCCTTTTTAAAGGTGGAAGGGGGCTGCAGAAGGCTTTTATGTCGCACAGAATGCGGTGGAATTTGTGCTAAGAAATCGTTTTACGTAATAGAAGAGTGTTCGGGGGGTGATCCTGGAGGGAGAAGACCAGTTCCAGAGATGATTGCAGTGCTGGGACAGGAGGCGGGTGAGGCCTGCCATTGTCATCAATAGCAGTGGCGAGAGAGAGGAGATTGAAGATTCATTTTAGCAGTGGAAAGCCTGCTAACTGGAGAGAGAGCTACATTAGAGGGAAGAGTCCAAGATGACTCCTAGGTTCCTGGCTGGGGAACTGAACTCCTGAGTGTGTGTTGGGGCTGCCATAACAAGATACCGCAGATGGGACAGTTTAAACAAGAAAAATCTGTTTTCCCATAGTCCTGGAGGCCCAGAATCAAGGTGTCCAGAGCTTTGGTGTCTCCTGAGGCCTCTCTCCATGGCTTGTACATGGCTGCCTTCTTGTGTCCTCACGTGGTCTTTTCTCTGTGCTTGCATATCCCTGGTGCCTCAAGTCTTTTTGTGTTTCCAGTTTTCTTTTTCTTTTTTTATATATCTTTATTGATTTCAGAGAGAGGAGGGGGGAGAGAGAAAGAGAGAGAGAGAGAGAGAGGAGAGAAACATCAATGATGAGAGAGTCACTGATCAACTGCCTTCTGCATGCCCCCGACTGGGGATGGAGCCCACAACCCTGGCATGTGCCCTGACCAGGAATCGAACTGCCATCTCCTGGATTGTAGATTGATACTCAACCACTGAGCCAGGCCCGCTGGGCCAGTTTTCTTGTAAGGACTCGTATCAGATTGGATTAGGGCTCATCTTAACAGCTTTTTTTTTAACCCAGTCACCTCTTTAAAGGTCTTATCTCCAAATACAGTCACATTCTGAGGTGCTGGGGGTTAGAGTTTCAACATATGAATTTGGGGGAACAAAATTCAGCCCACAATGTATGGTTCTGCCACTAACTGAGATTTAGAAAGCATGCGAGGAACAGGTTGGTGTGGGGGTACTTTGTGCTGTTGCACGTGGAACCCCCAAGCGTGGAGGTCTTAGGCAGCAGCGTCCACCAGTCCCACAGCATCCTGGGCAGTTTTCTCTACCCGGGTATTGAGGAGTTTGGCGGTTGTCAGGTATGGAAGGGATTGCAGGTGCTGGTGTGAAGGTGACAGGGGATTAGCTTTGGAGCATACAGGTGAAGGTCTAGCGGGGAAAGCCTGGCCTCTCGTCAGAATGCCCACCTTGCGAGGTGATTTAGCTCAGGGAGAGTAATGAAACCTAGAGTGTTTTTACTCTTGATTAGGCTTTTATCGAACTTAAGTTTGTTCTTTTATACTAATCTACTTTGGTGTATATGAGAAATTAACAAAACTGTTTTATAATTTTAGAAGTGGGAAATATGTGTACAAGCCCGTGATGAATCAAACATGTTGTCCTCAGTACACAATAAGGTAAGAGTTCGGGTTCGTAGGAAGGGGCTCTACAATACGAGGGTTGTGTGTAATTCTTTAGTAGAGTCCTGCTTGTTTTAAGTCAGTTCTCGTTCTTGGTAGACGTCTGCGTAAGGAAGAGCCGACGAGCTGCGCTTTTCTGTTATCTTCCCACATGCTGGTGCTGTGCTCATGTGCTGATCTGCAGCTTCAGTGATGTGTGATTGGCTCATGTGTAAATACATGGAAAAATACCCTCTTTATTTGGCAGTGTAGTGAGTGATTCCATGAAATGTTGGGAAAATATTGGTAAATACTCATTACTTTTAGATATCAAATTTTTATAGGTTTTAGCTCAGGGCTTTCCTTGTTCTGCAGTGTAACTGGCACAGTGCTCACATTCAAGTTTTGCCTCGTGGTACTGGGTACTGCCCATAACTGGTTTTATTTCTTCAGAGTTTGAGTTCACTTTTTAAATATTTATTTTGCTTTCCTAGGTGCCGATCTTTACAGTTCCAGCCATCAAAATCTCACAAGAAGGTTTTGAAAAAAATGTTGAAATTTCTGGCTAATGGGGAAATTTCCAAAGGAAATTGTGATGGTGAGATGAGGGTCTAAAAGCTGTTTACTTTAAAATGATGTTTTTTTCCAAGGGGAGGGGTGGAAGTTCATGGTACAAATTTCCTTTAAAACAAGCAGGTAAAATTGGACCTCTCGACTTGGCTGTATTTTGCTGGTGGGAATGTGGTTACACTTGCAAAGGGACTGGCAGCCCTTCCCCTGCTCTGCTGCCCCGGCCCCGCCTGCAGCTCTGCTTCTCTGGGGACATGAGGATGGACTGTGGACACAGTAGTTCCTGCCACATTGGGTGAAAGGGACATCTTTTTCCTTTGTGTGTCTTAACTGTATCTGGCTGATGGACTTTGATTTGTTTGATTTGTAGACGAGCCTATGGAGCCCAGCATGGAGGATGCCGTGGCTGGTGACATGGCGTTAATAAATAAATTGGATATCCAGTGTGACCTGAAAAAGCTCGGTGATAATCTCAGAGAGAGTTTAGAGAGGGAAGAGAAGACGAGAGGAAAAAGCACAGAGAAAGAAGAACCTAAGGCGTTAATTCAGTCACAGGAGAAAAAGGAGTTGGGCTCCGGGGAGCCGTCCCACTCAGTTGAAGTGCATCCGGCTCCTAAGCCAGGTAGTGGAGTCGTCTTCAGGCCATGTAAAGTCACAGTGCGTGCTTCTCTGTGCTTGAGATCCTGCCCCTGGGTCCTCATCAGCTGGAAATGTGAATTACTGTGAAACCTATAAACTAGATCTGTTTTACACAACCCACTACCTGGGTTTAGGTGGACAAGTCATATCTTACTAAACTATGTCCTTTAATAAGCCTGAAAGAACAGCCTTGTTATCCCCAACTACGTTTTATAAGAGGCCCAACTCCTCTTACTACAGGTTTGAGAACCAAATTTTTATCAGTGAGAACATATGCTAAACACTTTCATTTTTGGTATTAACTGAGACAAAGTAAATTTTAGGTCTTATGTCCAAAGTGCAGACATCCTAAAATTCTTCAGTTTATTATTAGATTTCTTTATGTCATAAAAAAACTTTATTTGATATTTAACTTCACCTTTAATAAGGTAAGATTTGTTTTCCATGTTTTCACTTATAAAAGAAATAGATTTGAAATTTTTATTCAGCATTAAGTGGGTTTATTATGTGTTTGTGCACGTGTGTACGTGTGTGTATACGATTCTTTTAAAATTCCATAAAATAATTTGGATGGTTATTATGCTTCATTTCTTGAATTTGTTCTTACATTTATTTATACAAAATGATCCAAGGGAGAGGTTTTTAGTACTACTTTAGTTTTTCTTTGTTACACATATAAAAGCACAGAAAACTTTGCGTTTCTATTGAATAGTTTTGTGTGTTTTTTTAATGTAAGGCTTCCATGGCTTTTAATTGACAGTCTGAGATTTCATCCTAATAATAAGAATAACCCAATAAAGTATTTTGAATGAGCTAGATCATTTCTTTCAAATTTTACTGTCTCGAGCGATAGGGTTAGTTCTTTTATTTTTAATTTTTATTACAAAAATTATCTGTGTATTGGTTATAAAAATCCATTTTGGAGAATTTCAAACAGAGACATGAAGACTGAATATTATAATGAACTTCCATGTACGCCCCCCTCATCTGAAACAGTCATTGACTCATGATTGATGATCCTCACGAAAAGTTTTGGCATATAATCTTTAAATTTTTATCTTTTAAAGAGGTTTGATTAATACAGAACTGTGATTAACCAGAGCCAAATAATATGAGTCCTCAGTTAGATGTGGAGAGACGTACTTTCAACCACGCTAGGGTGTTCTTTCATCGAAGCCTGCCGCAGTGTCTGGGGTCAGTGCTTGCACCCAGTGGCTGAGCATGTCTGTCACCAGTGCTTTCAGAAAGATGGGCTGGGGGCAGCGTGTCCTGGAGCAGGAGGTATTTGGTTATGTTCTTTCTGCTACATTTTTTAAGAACGGAGATTTTCGAGCACAACCTGCCTGAAAAGTTCTGTGCCTCTTTACTTCCTGTGGCAGTTCCTGCTTCTGGGGTAGTTTTGTGATGGACTTACAGCTGCACTCGGGGCCCTCTTAAATGTCTGCCCCATAGCTAGCTAGTGTTTGGGATCCCGCACTTACCCTGTGGAATCTGGGAGACTTTTGAGAAAACGTTTCCAGAGTCGGATGTGATTGGCCTAATATTCTGGAATTCTCTTCAGGCAGGGGGCCAGATCTGAGTAAGCCTCCATGTCGAAAAGCGAAGGTGATCCGGAGAGAGAAGAAGAGGCTGAAGGCCGCGCAGCAGGGCCCAGCTGGGGGGCCCGAGGGCTTCCCAGCTCCCTGTGCACCGCCGGCTCCGCGCCCTCCAAAGGCTAAGCCCGGCCAGCCCAGATCCCTCGAAGACTTCATCTTCGAGTCTCTGCCAGAGAACGCGTCTCACAAGTTAGAGGTACTTCGGAGAACATGCAATGTTTTGGTTTGTCTTACTGTTTTTGTTGTTGAGTAACTTGTGTATCTTCACTTGAGGTTATATCGATCCACCGACACGTTGCTGTTTAAACGACAGGGAATTAAAGTGAACTGGGATGGAGCAGCACTTGTATTTACTAAGTCAGCTGCTACTTGAGAGAGACTTTTAAGATGAAAAAAGTAGGCAGTTTGACTAAAGTTGGGAAAACAGTTCCAGGTTTAGTATGTAATGATGCGCAGAGTACTCTGGCTTTTTGCACCTCTGATTGAAATTTAGTAGTTAAAGTGAAAAAGAAATAAACACCATTTAAATCTCATTTTTGGCACTTTTGGTTTAGAGAGTGAAGGATAACAGATCCCACTAGGCACCGTGTCACTGGGCTGCTCTGACATTCTGACCTTGATCCAGGCAGCGGATAGCATTACATATGCAAGCCAGCAGTTAGGGATCAACCAGACGGTACTAAGTCGTTTTACTTTAATAAACTTCTCATTAATTCCCCAAACCAGTTTAGCACAGTGTGAATACTTTTAGAGCATTCCTGTTGTTTTTCCCAAATTGATTTACAGTCCAGATTAAGTTTAGATTATTCAGTATTCATTTGGTATTTATGAGTTTTCTTTCTAAAACATTAGCCATAATATCATATTCTTACATGATTTGCAACTAGTCGGCCTTTGAATTTATAGCTTAATATCACCTAAGATTGTCACTCATCACTAAAGATTTTACATTAAAAGTTAACTTTGACACAGTGTAAACCTTAGGACAGTACATGTTGTCAGACGTGTTTTTAACAGCTTTCACTCTTACAACTTCTTGGCTATTCTGATTTCGTTATTCATGTTTCTCCTTCCCAAATTGTAAAAAGGGAATTAACACGCCACTTAAAGTATTTTGTGACGAGTCATTTATCGTTTGATGGTGAATAGTAATGCACTCAGGGAACCGGGCACACCCACCAGTAGCCCAGTGGCAGCTTTTACTTATTAACGTAGTGGCACCTGGACGGATCGAGACTTGTCCACTGGGTGTCGCTCTTCCTTCACAGGGAATGGCTTCCCGAGGCATGCGTCAAGCTTCCAGTTATGCCTTTTTATTACGTTGCTTTTGATTTTCTGTTTCACTGTCTTGTTTTGCTAACCATTTTAACTGGTTAGTAAATAAATAGTGGTAAAATAAACGTTAGCCATGTTTGCAATTACAGTTTTAACTCCTCATTTTACATGAGCAAACTAAGGCACAGAGAGGTTAATTCATCTACTGAGCAAGACAGTGACATTAAGATTTGAGGAGAGGAAATGTGACTCAGAGTCTTGGTCCTTTGCTTAATGTCTTTCTAAAGGAAAGGTGGTAAGTTAGGGTCAGCAGCCCGCAGGACAGTGTCCAGAAAATGTATTCACGTGGCAGCCTTTCCGACTGGTTTACTGCAGGCGAGGTGCACGCAGCTGAGATTAAAGAGTGTTTTATTTGTCGTCTGTATCTGGAGTGCCAGGAGCATTCTGTCATTTTACAGGAGATGCAGCTTATGTTATTGGGTCATAGACTGTAGTCGCAGATTTGGGACAGGATTCTCTGCCTCCTTCATGAGTCTCTAAGTCGGAGAAATAACTTAAGTTTATTTACTAACTGGTAGATTTTTAATGTTAAAATATTCTATGTTTGTGCATTAATATTTGTATCGGAACAATTGGTCCTTTTTGGGGGGGAGTAACTGTTGATATGTACTCCATGGACTAAACTGATGAATTAACGAGCATTGTTTTTAACTCCTTCTGAAGGTGAGGGTTGTGAGATCATCTCCACCAAGTTCTCAGTTCAAAGCCACAATGCTGGAGTCGTACCAGGTCTATAAACGCTACCAGATGGCTATTCACAGCCACTCGCCCGATGAGCCAACTGTCAGCCAGGTCAGCAGGCCAAGCTCAGTCTTCTGTGCACACGGAACTTTCCCTTCCACCCGACGCCACTTTGAATTCTCGGTTTACTTGTGCTACATTTTACTTACATTCAGTTTGCAGCATACCTACAGAGAGATAGAGCTGGATTAATGGACATTCTGAAAGTGCAGATTCTACCTAGTGCCAGACATGTATAACTTCAAAGCGGAAAAGTCACATAAAATGAATTATCTTTATTTAAAATCATTCAGATGCATTCATCTAAAAGTAATAGAGGTCTAAGTAAAAATGTTTATGAGAAAAATGCAAAATCCTTTACTCTTCACAGTGGACACACTTGGCACAGCACGGTCTATACACTTTCTCCCTATTTCAGGTCATGTGTATAGAGGCTCATAGCTACCTCACTCTGTCCATGCTCAACTGAGGGGACTAGAAAAGTGAGATAGAACATTTGAACAGAAGTCCTCATTTGCTTATAATTTTATAAGTCAAATTACCCAGGAAAAATCTGGAAGGGAAAAGCTTAAAACACTATGTCGTGGTGACAGAAGTAGTGGCCGTGACCGTGACCGTTAGCCGCAATACTGACTCTAGGGTGTGCAGAAAACCACAATAGGTTGGTAGAGGAAAAGCCAAAACAAAAGAAAAATACATTGTCTTGGCCCTTAGGAGTTAAGATTTTCAAAGATACTAGTATAAAGCGAGTGCTTCGGGTTCTGTGCCAGTCAGCTCGTTCTGGGGCTTACTCGTTTCCTGGAAAATGCCAGTGCTGAGCTTTGGAAGTGGATTTGCGGAGATCCTACTCTGGCCTCACCTTCAGAAGCATGTCATCAGGTGGAGGCGTTTCAATAGCATTTGCTTGTATCTTCCTTGCTCTGAAGGTGAGGTTAGTACCTGTCTCCTTTGAGGACCCAGAGTTCAAGTCGTCCTTCAGCCAGTCCTTCTCTTTGTATGTCAAGTATCAAATGGCCATACACCAGGATCCACCCGATGAATGTGGGAAGACCGAGGTACCTTCATTTCCTCCTGTGTGGATGAGGTGGTCTGTGAAGCATAACTGTAACTTTCTTAGGCCATTTTCACCTGAGTGGAGTGTATATTACTCTGCATTTTCAATGTAGATTACTGAGTGTTTATGAAAGTGAGTTATACATGTGGACATTCTAAATCCTCAGGAAAAGGGCAGGTTCTTACTCAGTGTCCTGTCCAGGAACCTGACTGTAGTGTGTGTCTGTTGTCGTCGGGCTGAGTCAGCAGAGGTCCCTGCGTGCTCCTTACTCGCCTGCCTTGGTGCATGGAACCCTATACCTGCATACCTGTGAAAAGCTCAGTTTATTGATTAGGCACATAAGAGATTGACAACAATAATAATGATATAGTGCAGTTATATGCTATAATAAGTTATGTGAGTTTGGTCTCCTTCGTAACCAGTCTGATAACTGAGGGGCATATATGGCCTGGATGTGCTGGACACAGGGATGTTCACGTCTTGGGTGGGACGGAACATGGGATGGCGTGAGATCTCATCCCTCTCCTGGCAGAAGCTGTGGAGCAAGCACATCACCTTCCTTCCTTTGAAATTGTTTAAAACAGCACTGAGGTTGTGCATGAAGTTTATGGAGATTATCCACAAATACCCAACTAATGTCAGGACAGCTTTTCTCTATCTGTTTGTAGACAATCATGATGTTCACAATGTCACCATTTCTTTTTAACAGAAATCTTTAAAAGGCTTTAAAAATGAATAAATCTTTTTTAAGAGAAGTTTTTAGGTTAAAAGGTTTTTTTGAAAGAAGTTCACATATTTGAAAGACATAGTCCTAGGATTAATAAGTAAGTCTGAAAAGTAATCTGAATGATTTTTACTTTACAAGAAACTTTAAAATGGAAATGTCAAGCCTTCACATGAAGATGATAGAATGGTCAGCCCCTTACATGCCCAGCGTCAACACTGTCAACTCTTAGCCTTATTTCCCCTTGCGACTTTGTTGAATTATTTGAGAACAAGTCCCTGAAATTATGCCCTTTTATCAATAATACTTTATCTGATTCCATCAGGTGATTTTGTATAAATTTAAGACTTACAGCGATTGAGCCTATTTCAGGCTCCTGTGCCTTCATGGAAACTTTTCTAAGTTAGTACAGAGAACTTCCTATGAGCAATTTAAATGTAAGGAGACCTGCCCTTCTGATGGGTGCTTGTTTGGGGGAAGGTTTATCTTACATTCAGACATGATTAGGCAGTAAATGTGGTCATGAAAGGGAAAAATCACAGCGTGTCCATTCTGACCTGGTGGAGAAGCAGGAGGTAGTAGAACACGGGTCTGTTGTGTGACTACGGCCACCAGGTGGCGGCCTGGCGCCAGGGCAGGTCTGCTCTCGGATCCTGGGTCAGCCTGCCCGGGTGGGGGAGGGGTGGGGGGTTGAGTCCTGTATCCACAGCGTGTGAAGTAGGATAGATGCTTTCCTTCTGCTGTTGGTTAGACCAACTAGGCATTGAGCGTGGTAGTTACAGACGAACTTACAGACACTTTCCGCTTCGTTTTCCCCTCTTGTTAGTCTCTGTATTTGAAAATAAGTTATGTTTAAAAAGTATTCACTGTATCAGACTGACATTCCCTTCAGTTATGCAGACGAACCAGACACTCATGTATCTAGGCATGTTCTGGTTTATAAATACCTAACTCTGCCACGTGATCAACAGAACTGGAAAGGTGGCAGTTCCAATTTTTCAGTAAGAGCACCTAAAGTGAACCTAAAAGTCTTCATAAAATATAAAACCACGCTCTCATGCGCTGTGTAACCCGTCCAGAGCACAGAAAAGTGCGCTCGCGCCCTCAGTAGGCCCCAGCCTTTTGAATGCCATTAAACAGTCAATAACCTTCCCTTTCTTGTTCTCTCCTGCTGCCTGTTTATTGGATGGACCGGATTCTATTCAACTGTGACTGCAGTTCACGGGATTCCTTTGCACCTCGCCTCTGGAGGTAAGAGCTCACTCACTGGCCTTAGTATAAGTAAAAGCTGCTTTAATTTCCCAAGAGTATTGAGAAATTTACCTACAACGAGTTAAGCACAGTTTAGTGAGTGCAAAGCTCCTGTGATAGGAATAATCTTGTCGCGAGCGCCAGCGGTCTCTAGCAGTTGTTTTTTAGGTCTGCTTTTCCCATGAAGTCCAAGGAGCCCCACGTTTTATGGCCTCCTCGCAAGGACTTGACAAGTGAACAATGCTCCCTATTCACTCGTCCAAACAGGGAAAGTTTGCGGTTTTGCTGTGGGAATTCATTTACTAGGCCAAATAATTTTAGGTAGCTGCTTGCATGACTACAAAGCAGTTGATTTCCTTCTAGTTAGTAGTTACAAAAGTAAAATATACATATTAACACACACAATCACTTATCCAGAGCATAATTCTGCCTTTAAGAATGTAAAAATAGGAAATGTATTTGTATAGGTCTTTAATATGAGATACATATATATGTATGTGTACAAATATACACATATACATAAAAGCTTTTCTGTGACGTTTTAAAAATAGTTTGAAATGTCACTTTTAGAATGGCTCCCATATTTCTCCTCCTCTGCTGTGGAGAGTGTGATTCTGCTGGTCATCCGACTGTGTGAACCTTTAACCCCCAGCCTGTTGCAGTCACTGTGAGGTTGGGGGGGCGCATAGATAAGTAAAGCATTGTCCTTTGAACATTTTAGCTGACAAATACATCTTAAAATACTTCTAAAAACTTCTTTTCATAGGTTTGCCTCAATGTTAAGAATGTTAAAATACTACATAATGCCTACAGTTATTGGGAATACATGGACCTGTCTTGATGTGGAGACATTTGGTCTTGCTCAGAATCAGTGGTCTAAGTGTGCAAGCAGCATCTATAACCAGTATTAGTATGACCAACTGTCAGTTTATAGTACTTGAATTACTGATGATATATTCTATATATTATCAGTACTTTGACCAGAGGGCTTTTAAAATAAATTTTGTCTTGATTGTGGTTTTCTGCTAATATTTATTTCTAGGTTTTCTGCTTATCCCTAATTCATGCCAATCAGATTTTTGGGAGTCGCCCAGTATTTCAAAGTCAATTTGAGTTTTTTTACTCAACTCAGTGTCGTTGACATGGTAACCTTGTGTTGACCTCTGTCTCTTGAGCAGTTGCTCCTTAAGAACAATACTTCCTGGAAGTTTCCCTGCAGGAAATTGGAGGCCGGGGGACAAGTGTTCCTAAGCGCTAGCAGGGAAGGCCCAGGCCATTTCTCTGGTGACCCCTCCTTTGTAACAGCATCTCAGCCTTACCAGACAACCCCGCTCTACAGAGTAGCAGGGGCCACGAGGAGACTTGGGACAAAAGAAAAGAACATGAGCATTTATTTGTTTATGAGCTAATTAATTCAGTTCATGAATGAATGTGTGTAGGCATTCAAGCAGCAAATACTCATTATGAGTCCCTACTATGTGCCAGCAGTTATTTTAGACTCTGGGGATGCAGCATAGGTAACAAGACAGAAACGTTCTCACTCTCTGGGAGATTGTGCCCTTTTCTTACCTTAAGGTATTTGGGAAATAGCTGAGAGTTTTCTCTTGATATTTTTCCAGCCTGGAGTTTCACAGGGGCCACCTGCTGATGTCATTATTGGCTGCTACCCCCCAGTCTCCACGACACTGAACTCAGCACTCTGTTCCTTTGCCCCTGCAGAGCCTGAGAGCCAGAGCAAAGCTTAAGCAGGAGAATGTTTAAGTCTCTAAATGTTTAATTTTTGCCACTAAGCTTGTGTTTTAGCTGGAGAAGAAAAATTGCAAATATGGTAAATACTGGAACACCTTTGCTAATTTTGGATAAAAGAAAAATAATTCTGGTAGAGACTGACATACCTGAGACGTGCCGTTGAAAATGAAGGAGACTTTAAATTTCACTTGGTTCACAAAAGCTGCTGCGAATGAACCATGTCCCTTTGTTGTAAGTCCTAAATAGTTAGCCGCCCTGTGAATCTAGCGAAATTGTCAGGTTATAGTAACTGCATCAGTAATGTGAGCCGCTGTCATTTGAATGGAGCCATGTGTGGAGAGTCTGTTACTTCCCTCGGTGGGGCTGACCCTTTTACATTCCTGTAAGCTGAAGACTAATAGAGCTCATTAAGCTTTATGGGAAAAGAGCTTTTATCACCTCGTCAAGTCAGGCAACATATTTCCATTCTACTCCTAATTTTGTGGGCTCTGTGCTGCTGATGTGTACTCCCTGCTAGGTTTACATTGGGCCTCTCCCTCACCGACGTTTTTATTGACATTTCTAAGTCTGAATTACATTTTGTGTGGCACCACCTACAGATGTCTTCAATTAAACGTAGGTAAATAAAAGGGATTATATATCAGAGGCTGAGAGATTCTTGAAATTCTCTTGAGTTGAGCTCTGCCAGCCAGCCCAGTAGGGGGCAGTCTCTGTCATTTTGGAGGTGGACAGCCACAGGACCGGCCTTTGTAAGGAAAAATGAACCTGTGTGACTGCAGGTTACTGAGATTCCTCTTCAGATGTTCCTAGTCCTTCATTTCAGGTCAGTTAAAATATCCTTCACTTACAATTATTATAACTTACTGAGAAGCTAGCACCCGTAGTGCTAAGCTCTCAGCTTGCTATGTTTCAGTTCTTACAGAATGTCTCTGAGGAAGATAGTCCCCACTTTCTTATGAAGAAAGTTGAGCCTGGAGAGGCAGATGAGTTAAGCTCAGTGTCACAGCTGCTCGAATGAGACGACAATACGAGAGAGGAAGGAGTAGACGAATGACACTGCTCTAAGACTCTTGTGTTACATGAAGACTCTTGTGTTACATCATCGGAAGGAGGGCTGTGATGAGTTTGAGATGTGGTCTGTAAACGCTAGAGCGAGGTTTCCTGGCCATGGCACTGTTGACACAGATCAGTTCAGTCGTTTCTGTGGGTGCTGTCCTGTGCATTGCATGATGCTTAGCAGTATTTCTGACTTACACCCAGTAGGTGCCAGTAGCACCCTCCCTCTGAGCTGGAACAAAATGATGTTGAACAGAACATGTTAATATATTGTGATTGTGTTTTAACACGGTGTACCACAGAGCAGTGTCCAATGAGAGAAGCCCTCAGCCGAAAGCTGGGAATTCCTTCTTAGCATTTCCCTAAATTGGCTTCCTGGCCTTCGCCAAGTCTGTTAATTACAATGAGTACACACATATGTACAAGCAATTTAATAAAAGGTTGAGATGAGATAGCTGGCTGTTAGATAAAAACAATTCTCTTACGGGCATTAAACTAATGTTTTGGGTTATTTGTTCCGCTGGGCACATAACCTCTGCCTCAACCAAATGTTAAAATAACCCAGACAATAGAAAATCAAGGCCAGAACTGCACTATTGAAGGACACCAGTGATTTTTCATATGATTGGGATCATAGCTCCCATTTCACAGTGTTAAATTTTTACTTAAGTTGGAGAAATGTTCATAATATTACTAAAAAGTCTTGGGAAAAATAGTCTTTAATTACTACACAGCAATTGCTCATATGAATGTGCTGTAATCAGCTTACTTCATAATGTTGTTTAATTCGGTTCTTCAGAGTACTGACTGCCAGAAAATTAGGAACTGGTTGCATTTGATTTTTAAGTCACTTACACAAAACTGTGTGGTATGTTAGCCATGAGCGTTGGTAAAGGCAGTTTCCAACTTAACCTCTTACTTCCTTTTATGGACTATTTCAAATTTTCAAATTTAGTGCTTGTTTTTTTAAAGAGAGAGTGTAGGTTTTGATGCCACAGTGGTTTAACACACCTTCGGGTTTCTATTTTTAAAATGAATCCAAAGTTTAGTTTATACAATGTTTCATAAAACTATTAACAAAAGGCGACACAAGGAATAAGTTGCTGTGAAACAATGCATGCCCTTAATCAGGGGCTTAAAAAGACTACCTTTGGGGGCCTCTGTGAACTGTTAAAAAAAATTCAGACACCAGTTGTCTAATTGTAGATTTGTGTGTGAACAGTTGTGTTTTGGGGGAGGTACTTTTGGATGCCTTAGAAGGAAGGAGAACACAGGCCCTGCTCTCAGCGCCCCTGCAGACTTTCGCTGGTCCTGCCCTTGAACTCCCCCTTCCCCCCGCGTCACCTCTGGTGCCTGGTAGATGACTCACCCTTTGTCTGTTGCTTTGAGTCTCTGTAGTGCTTGTTTTAAGCATAACTGAGGTGTGGAGGCAGATGGGTCGGCGGACAGGTGTGCTTTATCAGAGTAGATAGATACACACTGACTTTGGGAGCAGTTTGATTGGAGGCCTGACCTGGCCTATTAATATTGGTGGCGGCTCTGCGTGGTGCCTCTGGTGCTGTACTGCACAGCTCATTAATCACCGAAGCCATGCGTCCTTCCCAGTGTGTAAGGCGGGTTTCTTTTGTGTAGCAAGTGGTGAGCTTTATTATGTTTTTCCTGTTGTCAGCTAAATCCTTGAAATTGAGGAACTTCTGAGAAATAACTTTGTATTCTTTCACATATCCAAATCTGTTTAAACTGCAGGCATGAGAAGGACAGACTATTAAATTACTTATGAGGAAATTAAAGCTATCTGCTACTTGTTTAAATAACTTTGCTGTTAAATGAGTGAGCTACTACTGATGTAATTTCATGGACATAATCTTTTAGGATGTGCTGTTCAGACCCCTTACACCAAAAGCTAAAGCTGACCCAAATTTGCTCACAGTCTGCAGGATGCTTTTATTTGTACATTGTTTTTAAAAGAAGTTAAATTACTGTCTTGGGCCAGCTTATATAACTCCATGGTTTTATGATTGTATTCCTTAATCGACTCCTGGATGTTAGGTTTCCTTTGTGCCGTAATGGGGTCAGAGTCAGTCCTTCTGTGGCCTGTTTTTCCTGAGTAACTAGGGCAGCCCATAGTTGTATAAAGTGCTTTGCAGGTGGGAAAACCCTGGCTTCCACGTAAATTGAGAGCTGGGAATAATGCCTGTGGTAGGACAAATTGCCCATTCAGACCAGTGAAGCACATGGAAACAGGTTACTAAATGGGAAGCCCAGGGAGAGAGAAGTGATGGATATTGGAAACCGGGATGTAACTGCAGTTTTAAAAAAAATTTCAAGCTGGTACCACAAGTGGGACTGATCCACATGTGGGCGTAACAGAGCACGCTGGTCATTCACTTATGAGAATGTGCTTATCGAGTCTGTACGTGTGTCCTTGACACATAATTTTGAATTAATGAATGAACAAATACACAAATAGATTTAGTGACCGAGAGGGATGCACTAAACTGAAGTCATGGAAGAATTTAGACTCATTTCAAAGGCGTCTGGCGAGCCCTCGACTGGGAGGTTTCTGGTCGTCAGCAGCTTCCACCTTCACTTCCTGAGCTGACAGTTTCTCTGTCCCTGTGCCGCAGCCTCGTGGCTCCTGCAGGGCTGTGCCTAAAGGCGGAGTGCGTTCCTGTTACCTCAGGGCTTCCTCTGAAAGACAGTTTTTATAAAGTCCCTAAGAGAGGAGTTTGTTTCTTTCTCACTGGAGTATCCCGGTTTCTAAGACAGGCTGTTAGGCTTCACGTTGTGTAGCTGCAGGGGTCACTTGAGGTGTGTAGTTCTAGCAGGCTGGTGCACTTCCCTGTTTCCTTTTGGTTAATGCCTCTGCTTGTTTACCTCTTCTCTTGAAACTGTATTTGCTTCTAGGGAAATGGTGACTTTCAACAGCAAAGCTAAATGTGACAGCAAATGCTGAAACCTGGGTTTGACATAATTATTAGAATGAGTGGAAGCTCTTAAAAGTTTAAAGATGGCCCTGCTGGGTGCGGCTCAGCGGTTGAGCATCAATCTATGACCTAGGAGATTGTGGTTCAATTCCAGGTCAGGGCACATACCCAGGTTGTGGGCTCGATCCCCAGTAGGGAGCGTGCAGGAGGCAGCCGATCAATGATTCTCTCTCATCATTGATGTTTCTCTCTCTCTCTCTCCCCCCCTTCCTCTCTGTAAAATAAATACATATTTTAAAAAAATAAAAGTTTAAAGATGTATTTATTGCCCAAGCAACATTGTAACTACAACAGTGGAAGTTACAGAAACCACTGATGCTGGGGGCACCTAGTAAGTCCTTTCTTACTTGCTGCTGATGGTGAGCAGCTGTGCAGGTTCTTTCCCCTTCCCGTCCTGGGCTCTGGAAGGTGATCGCCATGTGCAGCCCACACTTACGCAGTAGGGAGTTTGGCTCCCCTGCCCTTAGGAAGAGGGGTGTCCACACACGTTCTGGATTCATGGGAAGTTGTCCTCCTTCCTCACTAATTTGTTCTGTGACACATGTGAATGTGGACACGTGGATATTCAGTGTGTGCTTCGGGTTACAACCACGGCCACTGTATCTTGTTGCCCAGGTTATCTCGGCTCGGGCCATTGGGAGCTCCTTCCCTTGCCCCCGGGCCCTCTGATAGGGCCCCAGCGGTGTGGGCCGGCTTTTCTTTTCCGAGCACTTCCTGCTTTCGGGCACCACAGATACTCCAGGCTCATCTTGCGTACCTCGCCCCATCCTGGAGTCAGCCATTTCTCCAAGAGAAATGGTTCTTGTTTCTTTTCTGGTTCCTCTTGCAGCAGAGTGGAGAAACCAAGATCTGGGTCCTCGGTGTGCTTGTTGCTACTGGGGTGTCATTTCTTTTACCATCTGACAGAACAAATAAATATATGGGTGTGACTGACCCTTGTGTGATCATGTGTGTGAGATACACACCTGTAAGTATTTCTGTGTGTGACCATCTGTCTGTGTTACACTAAACAAGAATTTGTACTCCTATCTCCAGCTCTGGTCCATCACCCCGTGGGCCATGCTAGCCTCTCCCCCTTCCTGTCTGTAAATCCCCACACGCACAGCGGAAACCCGGCTTCTGCCACCCGCCGTCCGTTTATGTTGCTGTTTAGTTCCAGCACAGATGGGCTCAGTAGCAGAATGGTTCACCTGCAGTGCTCTTGGGAAGCAGTGTTCTCAGGTGCTGCGTGCAGATTTCCTGTTGCCTTCATTCTTTCAGACCCGAGGAGGTTACTTAGGTCAGCACCTTTCCCTCCCAGCCTCCGTCAGTAAGGTGGTTTCTCTCGTCATTCCCCGTGGGATCCCCAAACCTCCTAAATGCCTTTCTTTTAATTTGCATACACGAGCATCCATTTAGTACTAGCCAGCTTTTTTTATGCTGCTTCGTAGTTTTCATTTAACAAGTTATATTTTGAATCATGCTGAATTTTGAAATGAGAAGTATCACTCAAGTCACTATTTACAAAAATAGTTACACTTTAAGTTTTTTCTGTGGGATTACAGCTACATTAAAGTAACGATGAGGAAATAGGTCTGTTTTCCCTTGGCTAGAAAGACTGTTACAGCCCCTTGTACTACACAGGAACTGCCCTGGAAAGGTGCAGTCAGGCGCCTTGTCGGAGCCGGGTGTCGGGACAGGTCTCCTCACCCCGCCCTGTCCCTGTCCATTCTCCACCTTTTCTCATACACGGTTTCTTCCCCGCTTTTGTGTGGAACAGAAAGATACAGCTTGATATTTACTCATCCTGTAAGATTTATGTTGCCTACTGGCAGATTTTAAAACAAGCTGAACATTCTCAATTGATTTCTTGTTTTCCTTCTTGGTCAGTGTTTCTACTCGTAAAACACTTTGCAGGGCGGGACTGCAGAGGAAGGAGGCCACAGAGAGGAGCTGTAGGACAGTAGATTCATTACTAAGGTTTTTGATAGAAAGAGAAAAATGACAAACTGCTTGTGTTTGCGTGTCTGCTGTTTCACAGCCAGAGAACCCGCCTAACGGACCGGACTGTGGCTACGGCTCCTTCCACCAGCAGTACTGGCTCGATGGGAAGATCATTGCTGTGGGGGTGATCGACATCCTTCCATATTGTGTGTCCTCTGTGTATTTGTACTACGATCCCGATTACTCATTTCTGTCCTTGGGCGTCTACTCTGCGCTACGGTGAGTGCCTGAGAGCCTTAGACAGTTGTGACGGGTCAGGTAGAACTTCCAGTAGTTCCTCGTCTGCGCACGTCCCTCACAGATCAGCAGGAGCCCTGTTGTGATAGCACACATAACCTGTTGCTGCGTAGCCTCTTACGCTGGTGTTTAGAAATCCCACTTCTAGACCTGAGGCCAGCGCTGGTGGTAGTCCCGGGCCCCGCCTGCTCTAGTGCGCAAGGAGTCGTTGTGTTTGCAGGATGCCTTTGTTGCGTAGTTTATGCATTTGCGCTCCTGTCAGAGCCACTCGTGGTTCCTTAGTATTACGTTCTTTATTTATTTTTCTTGTCACTTTTGTGTATGTTTTCATAAAGGTCAGACGGATCTGGTGTAAGTGGATTAAAGCAGCGTCTGTCTGTGGGAAGGAAGACGCAGTTAGTAAAGTATACAGAGTGGGATGGGCTCCCTGGCCCTGTGCCTGACTCGGCACCTGCTCAGACGACAGCCACTTCCCTTTAGGCTCCGGCTCATATGTGCTGCACACCACAGGTGCCTTTTGTGCATCTTCCTGACAGTCTTTTAGTAAAAATCGTCTCGCGGAGTTTTTAAAATGCTTTCAACACTTGGACGTTTTTGAGAGCTTAGTATCAAATTTTATCAATTGTGTGTCAGCAGGTTACACAGTACGTTGAATATTGGAACTAGATTAATTGTATCTTCATCTTTATTCTTCTTTTGGCAGAGAAATTGCTTTCACCAGGCAGCTTCATGAGAAGACACCTCAGCTCAGCTATTACTACATGGGTTTCTACATTCACTCGTGTCCCAAGATGAAGTATAAGGTAAGGGGAGCTCACGTATGTCTGCTGTGGATTCAGACTATGAAAATTAGTTCTTTCATAGTTTCACATCATAATGTTTAACTTGCTTGTATATTTCTAATGTAAATCATGAGTTATTTTTAAACGTCTTAAACTTTTCTAGAGTCTAGCTGGTTCGTTGGCTTGAATAATGCCTTACTCCTGGGTACTCAGTAGTTGTTTAATGTGGGTTAATCTGCAGTATGTTAATAGCTGAACACATAGAAATCCTAGCTATTCTGGGTAAATTTGCATGTCTTTTCCAAGTGAAGCCTGAGAAAAATTGGTTTAGAAGTCAGGAAATTGGGGGAAAATATAATGATTCTGCCACAAAAATTAAAGCTGAGTCGGCACCACAGGGGTGTTAGAGTTTGAGGGACTCACCATCAGGCCTGAAGCAGGGCAGGTTGGCGTTTCAGGGGGAGGATCCGTGAAGTCTCCGTCGACCAGGGGTCTCCTTTGCGGCTGTAGCCGCACCGCTGGTGTTTCTTGGCCCTGTCTGCTGTTAACACTGTAAATAACACTGTAAATATATGATATTATCAGTTCATGTGCAGAGTATATGAGTGCTGTTCCAAACAATAAGTTTTGAAACAAAATAAGTTTATAAATTGCTAATTTCAACTTTGGATTTCCTGTAGTGCTACTGACATGCTAAGAGATGCAAGTGTTAGGTTATTAGAAATAGTACCTAGCGGTTTTGCTGGCATTTTCCAGTGTGTTAATATTTTCTATAGCCTAGTTCTTTTTAAAATGCCACTAAACTTGATTTTTTTTTAAACTTATTAACTAATTTTTAAGATATCCATATTGATGAGTAAAGAGTATGAGGAATATTGGAAGTACTTTAAGAACAACTTAGAATTTCAGGATTCCTAATTTCTCACTTTGAAATCCCCAAAGTTAATTTCTCTTGGGAATTTAGAAACACTATTGAAACCTTTAAAGTTAGGGTACAGCCCAGAGTGGAAAGGGAGGGGACTCAATTTAACCATTCAAACAAAACTTAAAGTTTCCCAATATATTGTATTTACATTGTACCTTCTTGGGAGAGACAGTTCTGAAAATTTGTAGTATAGTTAGTGATTTAGTAGCTATTTGGGAGATAATGATAAAATATTTGGATAGTAAATTAATTTTGTAAAGCCAGCATTTTCCTGGCATGGTTGAACACTTCTTAGGTCCTTAAGAACGTGTTGATTTTAATCTTTATATTGTTCGTTTAAGAAACTTATTTCCACTGCATTATGATTGAAGATAAGCCACTTTAGGTAACTGAGGAGTCAGTATATTTTTATTTAGTCAAGGATATTTTACTGTATTTGGAGCACATGAGAACCCTCGGCTATGAAGGAATAGCACAGCTGCTTATGAAAGTGGGATTTTCAGTCAGAAAATGTGCTGTTCACAGTTGTCAGGCAGATGTTGGTCCAGGCATGAGTATTTCTCATGACAAGTTGAGGGTCAGGAGCTAGAGACCAGTAAAAGGTAACTCACAGAAAATGAATTGCACACTCTTGTAAAAGCTCTCATTTTTAAGATTGAATGAGGGTAAATTTAACTATAACTAAAATAATAGTTAAAATGTTATCTTAGACCATAATTAACTGTTTAAAGAATTGATAATGACATTTTTTCCACATTATAAAATATACATGGAAAAATCTACACAAGTTTTCTCTCTGAAAGGAAAACAGAGTATGTTTTTGAATAGCAGTGTTTCTTAATAACCAAGACGGACCTGTCTCTGAAAAACCTGGTGCGTGCTGGACACTGGCAGTCTGCTGTAGCCGTGCAGATGTGGGCTGTGCCCTAAGGGGGCTCCAGCTGAGGGGCGTGTGGGTAACTATAGTGCAGCACCTAAAGGGGCCTCGGTGACACTCAGCTGTAGCTGAGACTGGAGTCGCGTGTTATTGGGGTTTAGACACGTTAGATCCCAGACTTCACAGTAAAGACACGTGTTGTGTGATGCAGAGCAAACTCAGATGTTTAACAGCAGGTTGATGCAGGTCTGGGTTTCCCCATGGACGGGAGTCACTCTGTGCTGAGCTGTGCAGACACGTGTCCTGAATGGAGCTGTGCTGATCTGAGAGGTTTCTGATGGCTCACGTGAGAGTTTTGGCAAAGTCCCTGAGTGTGCACATGCAGTCAGACCTCGAGGTGGCCGTTTGACTCAGACAGTTCATCCTTATGAGGCATTTTATTTATACCCTGGCTTGAGCCTGCAGGACATTTCTTAGCATGATGACACATTTTTATTTTGCTTGTCTTGCTAACAGTGAGCACTGCAGGTGGAGGTCACACGTGGAGCCTCCATAGCTCCAGAGTGGCACGTTTTGCAGTCAGTTCTCGCACAGTGCTCACGGCTGCTGGTTTATAGCAGTTACGTCTTCGAGCAGCGTAGTCCCTGAAATGCAGTACTTCTACTGCATTCCTTTGGATTTACCGTTGCGTGTGTCTGTGTTAAATGACGGTGATTTACGTGCACGTTACATAGTCAGACATGCTTCGTCTGTGGCCACTGTCTCGGGTGTGAGGCACAAGATAGTCGCGGAGGACGGTTCCGAGAGCTGGAAAGTAGTGGTGATGAAAGGAATTGTCTTCACGTGCTGTGCTGCCATCACTCCCGTTGACTTACAGTAACTGTGGCCACTTTACTGGGACTTGGTTCTGTTTTAGCATAAACTGGTGTCAGTGTGGGGACTCAGGCATTGGCTGTGTTCACCCTGGAGGAGCTTCTCCGTGGAGGAGCTGTCCTGCCGCGGTGGGAGGGGTTGTGTGTCCCCTGGTCTGCCCCTCAGCTCCGGTGCCTGCTGGCCATGCAGCACTGCAGGCCACTGCCCGTGGCTCACTCAGGAAGGAATGTCCTGTCCTGGGGCTCTCTGTAATTGTGGTAAAACATACATAAAACTTACCACCATAATAATTTTTAAGCGTACAGTTCAGAGGTATTAATCCATTTCCAGCACCCCTTTCATCTGGCAGAGCTGGAACTCTGTACCCATGAAGCATAGCTTCTCGTCTCCCCTCTGCCGCCACCGCCGTCCTGCTTCCTGTCCCTGTGAAGGCGACTCCTCGAGGTGCCTCATAGAAGAGGACCGTACAGTGTCGGCATTTTTGTGACTGGCTTGCTTATTTCACTCAGCACAATACCCTCAGGTCCGCCCATGTTGTAGCAGGTGTCAGGCTTCCCCCTCCTCAAGGCCGAGTGAGTCTGTGTGTGCCGCGTCTTGTTGATGCGTCTGTCCACGGGTGGACGCCGGGCTGCCTTCACCTCCTGGCTGCTGTGAGTGCTGCTGTGGACCTGGGTGTGCAAATGTCTGTTCAAGTCCCCGAGTTCAGTTCTTTTGTGTTTATGACCCCAAATGCAGTTGTTGCATCCTATGGGAATTTTAGTTTTAGTTTTTGAGGAACCGCCATAGTGTTTTCTGCAGTGGCTCCACTATTTCACAGCCCAACCAAAGTCACACGGGGGTTCTCATTCCCACAGCCTCTCCAGCACTTTGTGTTGTCTGGTTTCCTTTGTTTTGACAGAGGCTATTCTTGTGTGTGAAGTGGCCTGTGTGCCTCTTTAAGGTCCAGGAAAACCTTCCCAAGAAGCCGCCCAGCCCATGGCACCCGTTCCGTCTGTCGGAGCTGTGCCTCTTGTCCACCTGAGCCCGTCACTGACAAGGGGAACGGAGTGGCCTCGTGGCAGCTGCGACGTGCTGGGAGGAGTTGCCTCCTGGAGCACTTGGTGCTGCGGAGGGTGGTCCCCTGGCCAGGCGTGTGTGTGCTTAGTCTGCCTGCCAGCCAGGATTTATTTTTAACCCTCACCTGAGGATATTGTTTCCATCGCTTTTCAGAGAGTGGGAGGGAGAGAGAGAAACATCGATGTGAGAGAGACACCAATTGGCTGCCTCCTGCACACGCCCCAACCAGGGCCAGGGATGGCGCCTGCAGCAGAGACACCGCCCGCGGCTGGAATCAAACCTGGGGCCCCTCAGGCCGTGGCCGATACTCTGACCACGTAGCCACACCAGCCAGGGCCAACCAGCAGTTTTTAAAACTGAGCTGTTGGTATATATTTATTATACATATATTTATATGTAGTTACTATATATACTTTTTAAAATTGAGCTTTTGTTTTAAATATTTTTAGTTTTCTAAACCTTTTTTTAAATCTTTTGCGTTTTCAAAATGTTTGTTTGCATGTAAAGATTAATTTACATTCTCTCTTTTGACTCCTTCCTGCACATTTCAAAGATACTTGATTTCCTTTGAAAGTGAAAATTGGAGTATATAGAAATGGTGTTAGAATAATTTTAAAAGTTTCTTTGTGTTGTCTGGGGTTGCGGCTCTAAGGCCCGTCTGACCCGAAGGAGGTGCTGCGACAGAGCCCTCCATCCAGGCTCGCGTGCTGGCCAGAGCAGACGGGGACCGGGCTCTCAGCTCCGGTATCGTGACTGGCTGGACATCAGATAGCTGAAGCAGCAGAAAGGGTTCGAAACGTCAGGAAAGAAATGAAGCCTGTTCACCTGTGATTAATTATCCTTAAACTCTGCCTCAGCTGACTGTCTAGCAGCAACCCCGGAATTCTGCAGCATTTGCCTGACAGGAGGTCGTTGGCATTACCATTATAAAAGCACCTCCAGAAAATGGGGGTTTACAGAGCTGCATCTGCAAAACCACGTGCCCCTGAAATCCCCAAGCTCCCAGCTTTTCAGTTTTCTGACCAGACAAATTAGCAAATGTTGTTTCACTGCAGTCCTGGGTGGTGCATCTGGCACACGTGGTGGTGACGTGCTGCCTCCGGTCTGAAGAAATTCAAGTGGTCTCGCCAGTTACCCCAGCACAGGACAGGCTCCGCAGCATCCGATTCCCTGATGCTATCTATGTCCAGTGACCACAGGATAATGTTAGTCAGGGGTTTTTTATGCCTCCTGCTGGCAGTGGGAGGTAAAAAAATTCACATGCTCATCACAAATGCTTGTTTTTAAAGC